AATTGTAAAGAAATAATAGAATGTGTTAATGAAGCATGTTGCCTCTAGTTTTCACCATACATAGGGCACTTTTAAACCAGAGTGTTTTAGCATGTCTTCTTTTGTATGTCTTGATTTAAAAAGTAGTGAGAAACTCATTTATCAGTGCACTCTATATAGTCTAATATCAACATTCATCTGTGGAGAATTTTTGTTATCACTTTAAAGTTCACTTTTTCTATTTATCTGAAAAGACGATGATACTGATTTCAACATTAAAGAAAGATTTGAATGAAATTCTAAAATTTAAACATGGTTCTTTTTCATACCACACTTTATAGGAATGCAGAGAGGAAGCTATCTAATGTTTGCGTTAGTATAGTATTAATCTAGAGAAAATTACATATTTTAATCTTTAGTGAAATCCCAGTTCAGAGAGTAATATTCTCTGAATTAGGTTCAAAGTTTAATTTAAACTAACTAACAAGTAAGAATTACATACATAATTCCCTTTTCAAATATGAACCATTTTGAAGAGTTAAAATCAAGTAGTTATAATAAATGCTTCTGATTTTTTTATAAATATATTCAAGCAGAAAAATTGAGGTTATGGAGAATAATTTTCAATGGAAAATTAAATAGAGCTAAAGGAAAAGTATTGGAGATTTTTTGTAAACTTAAATAAGTTAGTCTACAAAACTGACATTTGTATAATAAAGTAATGATTTGGCATTAAATACAACAGTTACCTCTACTAACTGAAGGATTAAATCAATGAAAAATACTAAAGTTTACTTATTATGTAGTTTATTTAATTTGAATTGCCAAGTCTTACATTATAAAAACTTTAATGTTCTTAATGTTGTATTCAAGTATTTTTGTATAATAAAATATATAATAGATTTGCTTTTTAATTAGCAGTGCACTTTTCAAAAAAGATTATATTGTGATAAAGTGAAACAAAGCCATGTGACAAGCTCAGTAGCAGTTTGAGATAAAAATTTTAAAACTCTAGAGAGGAAATTGAAAGTATAATGCGTGATGGGCAATTAAGGATATATTTTGACAATTCTAAGTGGTCAAGTTTTAAAAGTATGACACTGAAACCTTAACCTATCCATATAGTAGTGATAAATGAGGCATTTTGTGTCATTACAGTCCCATAAATCACTTTCTTTAACTGCTGATGGCTTTTATCAGATCTAACCTTTTCAAGCTTCTACCAGAGTGCTAACATTTTCAACTCTGACATACGTGCAGTTTACAAATTCTGCAGCTGATTAACTCTGGACAGAAATTCACTGTCATCATTGTCTTTATTCAAGTAAAGATTCAGATCCTCAAAACTCATAGACACTCTTGGTGTACACACAAACAAAAAAACCTTCTCAAAAATACATAAATGTTGTGGAATTCAAACAAATATGTTACTTTGGAATCGCTTTTTTATTATTTTATTTTCAATTCTGTTTTTAATCATTAATAAATATCAAACAAGAGTATTAGAGCATTAGAAAGAATGTGATAACAGTAATATGATGGTCTGCAATTAAAACTGTGCAAGTTTACTAACAGGTTGTATATTTTTCTTTCTAAAAATAGAAGTTACATAAAATTGCAAATCAGCATTCTTTAAAGTTTTAAAAGTAAGCATCTAATACATGCCCTCTAAAAATCTATGTGGAAATGGAGTAATGTAACAGTAAGGATGGTAATAACAATGTATAAAGCATATTTATACCCGAAGAAAGTAATGTAGGAAAACAATATAAAAACCATGATTCCCATCAGATGTCAGAAATAACTGATTATGCCATTATTCGTGTAATCTTGAATCTTTACAAAATTAAAAGTACTTATTGTAGGAAATTATTAGCATCTGTCATTCCAAATGTAATTACAAAAAGGTATATATAAATTTTGATAAACTTATACATACTGAGATAAATAGAGAGTCAATGCAAATGCAATGCAGAGTAAAGCAATCTTCAAATTTAAGGTGTTATTGTCTTCAATAATGCTGGTCAGTTTGAAAATCTTTATGTTTGTGAGGAAGCTTCTCATTTTATATAGGATTAGTTTTATAATGAACTAATACATCTGACCTAAATAATAAACGTGAAGACAGACTCAGACCATACAACTATGAATGTCTACAGAGATATTCCTGTGGCATATTGCCTCTTTCCAATAGTCTTTTAATGTCATTATCTAAATCTATCCTCAATAACCTTTTTAATTTCACTAATAATATCACACATGCAAGAAGTTATAGAACTAGAATTCTGATATAAATTTAGAGAACCTTATAAGTATTCATGACAACAGAATATTTATCATTTAAAATACTGTAAAACATATGATTTCTTGGTTGCTATATCAAAGACCGGTGATGGATGATTCTATGCTAACCAAACAATCCAGAGGGAACACAGATGTTTTACTATTCCCCTTCAAAAAGAACAAAAGATTCCAAATCCGCTTTATATGCATCTGTGGATTGAAATGTTCATAATATATATAAAAAATTAAACATAGCCAGTTAAATAACATCTAAACAAAGTAACTATACATAACAAAGATGGTTTTTTCTGCATTTAAATTTACACGAATGTCCTTCAAACATACAATGATGCCTCCCTTTGTTCTCTGCTTTTCTGCATCCCTACTCTCAAATATCCTTCAATATTTGAGGTAAGCTCAGATAAGCTTCTGACCTTCTATAAGAACTTTAGTGTGCATGTGTGCATTCACAAAAAGTAGGAATCAGGTTCATCAGTGAGTTTCATTCTACTGGCAGCTTTCATTCTACTGGTAGATGGTCTTTGTTATAGGATTACATATTTGATAGCTGATCCAAAGATCTGTTTTGGAGTCCCTCTCTTGTCCTTGCATTGGCAGCTGCTTTTCAGATACACTAAAGTAGTCTTGCTCAAAAGCTACATTAACATTGCATCAGAAATTATTTGGTGGCACATGAAGAAAAAAAACTTCATGACCTCTCAGCAATTCCTTTTTGTCAATATATCCAAGTCCATTGGATATACTCACAGGAGATATCTACCGAATTCAATTGTTTTTTGTGTTGAGAATAGATTCATGAAAACTAATGGGACTTGAAACCTCACTAATCTGAGTCACAGAGATTTTGGTGGCTATATCTAAGTTGAATTTTATTGGAAGTGTTTAATTTATATTAAATTCTTAAGCACTTTTTCTAATTTGAACCAACCTCCCTTACTAATACAGGTATATGCAAACTAGGCAAATAAACAATTATTCACTCTCTTTCTTCTCATCCCCATCTTTAAACCTTAAAGGATGTGATTGAAAACAAAGAAATTAAAACATTGTCTCAAGAGCTCCAGATCTTCATCTTTTAAATAGCTATGTATAAGGATATTGAGTTAAATAATATTTGAGGCTATATCCTGATCAGATATCATTTATACTTAGTCTGTCTGATGCAGTGGTGTGTTGCTCCCGGTTCTGTCCAGCTCTATAGAACTGGTAGTAAAACCGGCAGGAGGCCCTGCCCACCTGCCACAATGTCATTATCATGCGCTCCCATTGTGAACCAGTAGTACAGGTAAGTAGAACCCACCCCTGGTCTGATGGTCTCCTTAGTTCTTGCAAGGAAAAAATGTCCAGATGTGAAATAAAATCTGAAAAACTGCTCATTAGTCACCAATACGTTTTACAAACACTTTATATAATATCTGATGTACTAGTCATATCTTCATTTTATTTATTTTCCATCTAGTCCAAGATTCTGTGTTTTTGATTCTCCTATAAAAAAATTCCAAACATTTAATTGTACAGATTTCTATTAGTTAATTTAAAAGGAGAAGAAATATTTTAAAATTCCTTCAGCACTTTAAAAAAAAAAATCAGTGGATGTGCAATATAGTTTATATTCAGTACTATGTGAGAATAATTTTTATGCAACTTTATAGTTAGAAAGATAGATAACTCAATTATTTGATCATCTATCAAAATATTCAGATGTAGAAGAAGCTCTAAAAAGATTGATGACTGAGAAAGTCCACTGATTCTCCAGCTATCATATTCATGCACTTGACTAGACAACATTTTTCGCTGGCTTCACAAGCAAGCTTCATTACCCATCACTCCACTGAAAAGAGTTTATTATGCGGCTGCCATCTTGGGGAGACTATTATTTAGATGATAAATGTTGGGAAGGGGAAGTGTCTAGCCTTTTTTTAAAGATGAGCTTTGTGACAGAAAAAACAAACAGCATCAACATTCCTAATTAACTTAAATTTGGCAGATACAAATACAGGTCTGTATAGCTACTGTATGGTAATGGAATTGCTATCTGAATTTTACAGTTAATCTCTATGGTGTAAATTAAATTAATTAGAAATGCTACACCTTTTATTAGCTTATTGCTTACCGACACTTATGAACAAGTGAACTTTTATTTTAATTTAGGACAATTAACCGTATTAATTTAACAAATTAAAAATTGTGAATAATATATATCATATCACAGGCTTTTAAATAGTACACTCTTTTGTTCTTACTGAATTGTTACCTGGACTATTTATGTGCATTCTATTTCTAAAATCACCAATTATTTATGGATTTGAGTTAAACCCCTATACCTAGCGTTTGCCATACATATTACAGGTCATCCTTACGTAACAAGCATCTGTTCAGCAGCCATTTGAAGTTAGGAAAGTGCTACACTAATGGTAGTTTAAAGCAGTCCTCAAAGTTACATACATTGCTGTGTTCCTGCAGCCATGTGATCAAAATTTCAGACACTTGGCAGTCTGTCCACATTTATGACTGCAGAGTGCCTCCCTTCCTCTCACCTGCATATCTCACCTCTATCTTTGCTGCTGCACAGAACCTGAAACATTGCATGCTGTAGCAGGATGAAACCAATATTGTGATGTAAAATTGTCCTGTGCATCTGGGTATTTATATAGTAATTTCTTTATTTATCAAACTTGTATGCTGCCCATTTTGCTAAAGGCTATCTCAATGGTGAGATGATTGTGCCATATGGAAGGCAAACTGGGCTCAGCTATATTTGCTATTCCCAGATCTGAGCAAGGGCACTGTAACACAAAGCAGTGAAACTTCAATTTGAAACTGAGGTAGACAATACAACAGGAGCCAGTTTAAAAATTATAAAGCCCAAAAAGGAAAGACAGGCAAGCCCCCATTCTCTAAATGGAAAAAATGATAACTCATGGGTATGCTTATGACAGCTACTTGCCATAATGTGAAATACATATGTATAAATGACCATGCAATAGCTTTTTATAGTATATATTGCAGTATAGTAAATAAAAAATTGTTTCTACAATTTTTATGTAAGGTTAAAAAAAAGAATGCCAGATGTAAAGGCCAACTAAAAATTACAAGAAATGCTGAAAGTGAAAATTTTATAGAGGTTGGTCTTCTTTGACACAGTGGATTGTCTGTTACCAGGCCTTTGGTAAGCATAGCAGGATCTATGCTGTCAGCTTTTATTGTACATAAGCCTAGATGCTTGTCTAATCTGAATGAGAAATACCAAGGAAATTGAAACTGATGCCTTGCACTAACATATATGGATTCTAAAGTGTTCTGTCAATATTATAGGATAACCACCAATCGTTATACGTGCTTGATGAAATAAATAAAATAAAATAAATGTGACAACATTAAAGGAACAGAAAATAAAGGTAAATAATTTAAGCAATGTAAAAAATTATATTCTATTTTTTTTAAAAAAACCAGGAAAATAAAAGAATTTATAAATGATTCCCATGAAACAGGCATGCCAATAAATAAAATGCTCAGTAACAAAAATCTGGAGAAAGAACCCTGAAAATGTTACTCATTGGCCAATGTAATCATAATTAAATTATTGTTGATTTGTTGTAACATTATTACAACTGAAGTAAATGGTGCTATTTGGTTTCAAAGACTCAAATATCATTTCAGATTATTTAATTTTTTATGGAAGCAGTAAACACTATTTTAGAAATATAAAAAGGAAATAATTTGCTAGCATACATGTTCGAAAGAACAGTCTGCCCCAAATAATCTGGATTGTAGTCACACAACTGTGCAACTTATTTCATGCATTATCTATTAAATTAAATGTTTAAGAAAGCTATAATACTAACAGAAATTTTAAACAAAGAGAAATCTGTATTTTCACGAAGATAATAGACAGAACCTCTACCATAAGTGTTATGGATTATAAACTTTCTTTGGGAATATTGCAATTAATTTGCTATTGGGGAGATTCAATATTTTTTCCTCCACCCCAATGATTTCATGAAATAATACACAAATCCTAAATTCATCCCAGCCCAATTTCTAAAGTTACTAATTTTATAACAGGCATTTGCGTGTTACAGAGATAATATGAAGAATTTATGAATTTCCACAAGCAGTGGCTAGGTTAACCAGTCCTCAAGCCCTAAGTGTTGGAGCAAGGTCAAAATGTTTTAGTACAATGCCAGCATGTCAAAATATGTCAACAAACCATCACACTGTGGGAAGAAGAATGACCTTTCAGATCTTTGTGTTTTGGCTGCCAATGAAGCTTTTGGATACTGGGTATGCATGAATAGTTTTCTTAGATACTTGACAAATATAACTCCCATGGTTTCTATTAAGCCAATATTTTAAAACCCCAAAATGCTAGTTGTAGCCACTGTGATAAAAAGGATGTCTTTCTTCTCTAACATCTAACCTTCAGTTAATAAATCAACTGATAACATTATTACTCAGGTATTCACTAGGTTAACTCAGTCTCTTGAATAAATTTGTGCTTATGTCTCTGATATAATGATGCATAGGAATTTCATCTTCAATATTGAAGATGAGACTTTATGTTTATTCTTATGCAGAAAAATAGTATTTTATTAGATACAATATAGCTCTAATCCTAATCTTACTTACTGGATAGTAATTATAGTATGAAGGAAGTTTGCAAGGCAACACTGAAAGCTGAAATTGTATAACTATATATACTGTATAACAATCCATCTTTACTCAAAAGAGTAAAGGAAATTGAAAGGATTCTAACATTAGCATGTTGTAATTACACTTTAAATAACTTTCTTACGAATATGCATATTTAGGACATCTCTATTAACTCTGAAGCGAACCTGGCTGAAACCATCTTTTGCTGCCTCATAGTTGCCACGAACTGGTGACATCTGGGGAGGGAAATATTTGCTCTTTTAATTAGGCTAAAACCAAGGAAACTTTTAGAGTTGGTTTTCCCTGGCTGTGCCAATATGATGTATCCAATAAACATGTTCTTTGAAGAATCTACCTGCCTCAGAGTTCTGCTTTTGGCGGATGATTTACTTAGAACGCTGACACATATCTCATGAAATCTTTTTATAAAAACTCTTGGGTGGATTTTAAATGAACACATTCTGACAATTCAGAATACTAGAGTACTGCAGTACTTTTTTTTTTCGAAAGTATACATTCAAAAGTATTAAAGACATTAATTTATGATTAAAAATAGATTTCAGTAGATGGAAGGTTTGTTATTTATAATCAAAGAGTATAGAAGTGTTCCTCTCATGAGGAATTATCTAATATCAGTGTCAGTAATTTGTTAGTACATTCTTAAAATATTACAAACTATCTTCAGGTTCTCACTAAATATACAATCTATGACACTCTAAATTGATGTACAAATAGGAAATATACAAACTGAATACATCTTTATATACTGTAAGCTTTTAGTGACAGTGTAGTTGCTGCATAGTAAGATGTTTGATTACAGAAATGCATTCATTTATTAATACAGAATATCAAAAATGGCAACTTTGCAAGTACATTTAAGTACAGCGAATTACATTATCATGCACTGATACTGTGTATTAAGCTGTGTAACTGTGGATTTATAGCAGAAGCTATTTGGGAAGCTATTTGCTGTTGGTGTATTTTTGAAGAAGTTGAATCTTTTCTTACCTCACACAACAATTGTACAATTCCAGGAAACTATTTATCAGCAACAATGTTCCCACACCCATTCCAAAGTACTATTGCAAACTCTTGGTGCTTCCTACAAATGTATATATTCCTGGGGTGGTGTAAGTGTATATATTCTTGGGGTACTAGAACCTGAGTTCTAGTAAAGACACAGCTCCTTAAGGTAGAGTTAGCAGATGCATCACATGCCCATGACCCCTTCAAAATTTGATGTGTTGCACATTCCTTTTGTACATGTATAAAATAAGAAGTAAAGATATCAAACCTGAATAACATATCAAAAGTTTAGACCATCCAGGTAAAGGCACATATTCCATGTTCAATCTGTAGTTTTTCTACTCCTAACCTGTCAAGATCTCAAAGTTCAGCACTTGGATTGAGTCAGTAATGGAGAAATTGAAGATCTGCTGCTATTCACATTAGATAGTGCTATGCTAGAAGGGCCAATAGCCTTACTTAACATTACGCAAAAACCCAGCAACCCCTCATGATCTAACTGTAAGCTTACATTTAGAAATCTGCTAATTCCTTTTATGTTTTCAAATGTAACTGGGTTACACTGTACCATATATAGGCTCTATAATCTAGTGCTAATCAGAGTACAGTAATTATAGAAATACAATAATTTCAATCCTTTTCAAAATGAATCTCCTGCTTGTCTTTTGTCTGGAAAGATGAAACAAATAAGCATAATGTACTAATATTGACAATAATACCAAAGTTATATTGTCTATAGCTCATAAAAATGAAGATATACCTGTTCCAGTAACTCCAAAACTGGTCATTTAAGTATGCTTGATGGCTGCATTCATCACCAAAAGAGGCTTTGCTTTCAATCCAATGAATGATGTGACCTTCTACAGCTAAAAAGAAAAAAAAGTTATTCATGGTAATTTGAGGTTTTTAAGCAATTCTCCATTTTCTATTCAATTAATCCTGATGTCATGAATTTTCACTTGTAAAAGATGGTGAAATATTTTACCAAGGAAGGGGTTTGAAATACACCATGATTGGAAATCTGGAGAGAAAAGTACATGAGAGATGACAAGTACACGAGAGATGAATTGCTGCAGCAATTAAAATTGCTGCAGCAATTAATATCAAGGAAGAACATAGGGGCCGTGGTGGTGCAGTGGTTAGAATGCAGTAGTGCAGGCTAACCCACTGTTCACTCCAGGAGTTCTATCCTTACCAGCTCAAGGTTGACTCAGCCTTCCATCCTTCCAAGGTCGGTAAAATGAGGACCCAGATTGTTGGGGGCAATACTCTGTAAACCACTTAGAGAGGGCTGTAAAGCACTATGTAGCAGTATATAAGTCTACGTGCTACTGCTATTGCTATAGAACTAAGAGACTGGAGGAGAGGAAAAGAGAAACAGGTAGATTTAAAGACAGAAATGAATAGGAGAAAATAGGTAGTACAGAAACTGGGCTATATTCAGGACACAAAAAAGGGGGGGGGGAGGCAGGTGAAGCAGGTGGGAAGAGAGAATGCTTCTTTTTCCTGCTCCAGTTAAGAGAGTCATGGTCTGGACAGTTATTTCTTCTTTCCTGAACTGTTATGCAAATTTATTTCCTTATAGTAGCCAAGTCTGAAAAAGCCTTCAACTGATAAGAAAGGAGATGCTGAACTGTGAAAAATTAAGTTTGATGCTCAAGAATCACAGGATCTTTAGAAATAGGCATAAAAGATATTCAGAGCAAAAAGCCAAGGGATAGGGTATAATGATTGCTGTAAAGGTGTTTGGCATCATAACTAACAAGAAAGGAATGGGAACGCCAGAAAATAAGTAGTAAGGTATACTGAAATAAGCACTTGTCAGACTGTTTTTTTTTCTTTCTTTCCTTCCTTCCTTCCTTCCTTCCTTCCTTCCTTCCTTCCTTCCTTCCTTCCTTCCTTCCTTCCTTCTTTTGCAGTTTTTTCTATTGCAGTTGCATAGAATTAATTTTTATACTAGGAAAAAATGTACAGTCTGTTTTGGTGGAAAGCCAAGATGATTAGAGTTTAGGTAATGAAGCTGTACTCTCTAACTGCTTCTTTTCTACAAAAAACGACTACATCATTTATGACTTGTTTTTATGAAATGTTGATTGCTTCATCACACTGATTAATTTATAACTATTTAAGCATGTATTTATTCTGCAACTGTTTTCCTCATTGCAAGACTGTTGTGATGTACTCAAATCTCAGATGACAATCTAGAAATTGCAGAGATGATTCTAGAAGATGATACACATTTTCTGGAAAATCATACTGGAACAATAATGTAGTATTCACTGTGTTAATATATGGCAAGGGAATCCTAGATTTAAACTCTCACAAGATTTTTTTTCCACGAAAACAAGTGTGGGAAAACTATACACATTGGCATCAGATTCTTAAAGGAAATATATATAAATGTAATAAATAAGCTAGCAGAAAATAAGATCCTGCAAGAAAGCTGAGTTGGACTAGACAGCTTTCGTTATTTTTCAAGATCTCCATGTAGCACCTCTATTCAGCAAACTATACTGGCTCTCAGTAAGCAACAGGTCCAATTTATCATCTGTAAAGTCCCATGTGGCCAGATTATCTGTAAAATCACTTGTCTTCTGTTGTTTCTGTTTGCCCCATCAAAATCAGCTGAGTTGGCATGCTCTGATCCCATCTAGCATACCATCTTATGGGATCTAGGAGTCAGTCGTTCCCTCTCGGTCTACAGCTTCTGCCCTGTGGAACAACATCCCTTCAGAGGTTTAAACAGTTTTGATACTATTGGACTTGGATGTTTCTGCAGGCATTTGGGCTAGCTTAAAAGAACCCTGTGATTAGTTATACTGTAGTCTTTTTGACTAGAAGAGGAATGATTTTTCAACCTCAAGCTTGTGTTATATTATTGTTTCTGGAGACTCAGAAATTGTTTTATTATTTTTCTGTTTTCTTACCATCTGTACACTGCCTAGGGTTACTCTTGCGAGAATCCTATAGATTGTCAGTACCTACATACATTTCTATTAGCTTTGGAATTCTCTTCTGTATGTAAGAGTCTGGTCCAATGAATCACCATGGAGAAACATGAGACATTTTGGTAAAATACAGCTGGATGTCTTTGATCTAACTACCTGTTAAGGGAACTTTTTTGGTTTCTGTTATGCAGTCTATCATTAGCACCATGGTGATAAATGTAATTTTTTAAAATAAGCATTATATACTGATTTGGATAATAACTGTTTTATATTTTTACTGTTTTACTGGATTGTTCTGCACCACTCAGAGTAGCTTTCTGTGAGATGAGCAATTATATAAATTTTATTAATAAATAAAAATAATGAATATATTACTACATTTGGACATTGTTTCTGCAGGAAATGCAGCTATTTGGCTAAAGACTATCTTGACAGTGAAATCTTAAAATATTTTTCTTCTCCAACAAAGAAATCTAGATTTTAGAGAAAAAATATACAATCAGTTTGTTCATGAATAAGGGTCTAATTTATTATGTACAAGTGATTGCATTCAAACAGATCACTTCCCATAATACCGTTTCCCTGAAAATAAGACCTCCCCGGATAATAAGCCCAATTGGGCTTTTGAGTGCATGCGCTAAAATAAGCTCCCCTGAAAATAAGTCCTCCCCGAAAATATTTAAATGCATGTGCAGCCGGTCCCCGCTATTTCCTCTGGTTAGGGTTAGGGAGACAGAGCTGGAAATCAGGTAAGATGGCAAGAGGAACCCCGACTTGCTCCACACACCCCAAAATAATAAGACCTCCTCGAAAATAAGGCCAAGCGCTTATTTCAGAGTTCAAAAAAATACAAGACAGGGTCTTATTTTGGGGGAAACACAGTAAATTCTTAATGGAACTGGTTCACTACTGTGCATATCTTCAACGTTATGATTAAAACATATCTGGAATAATTCTACTAAGATTGCTAGCATTTAATATAAACAACTCAATTAGAAAAACAAAAAGCATCATGGACTTACCAATTGGCACTTCTAATATGAAGTCTGGTGTTTTGTCATAACCCTTTGCACGTAACTGATCTTCAGCTATAGAGAGAATAGATGATATAAACAATAGTATTATTCTATTAGCTGATAGGAAAAATAATTAATTCTCTTTTGAACAAAGGTACAAGAATTACTAATGCACTCATACATATCCTTCTAATGCATGCAATGCTGTGTCAGTTTAAATGAACCTTCTTGGTAAACCTGAAACATGAATCTAAAAATGCTTCTTTGCCATCTCTGCATTTTTATGCCTTCATTATAGACATCATTAATTCAACCTGTCATATTGTACTTTGTTTCTGAAAAATGTTCAAAATAAAGAAATATTTTACTTGACTGAAGCTCCTGCAAATACCTTTAAGAAACTGCTAGTGTTTCTGCAATGAAGACATGTTATACCTTTATCTCAATCTAGATTTTCATTAGAAATTAATATTTCAGTTTTCACTGAAAAATTATTATACAACATAGATACAGATGTTATCCCAGAGTTTTTGGTATGACATCAAGCACTGCACTGATAGAAGGGAATTTTAAGAGGCTGACTTTCCAAAATTGTACATTCCCTCACAATCTCTCTCCCCACATCTCTTATTCAATAGGCATAAATCAAAGTGTTATTGTGAATGGAAAGATCTGTAGTATACAGCATCTTATCAATGAATCTACATCTATCTTCTGAGGCTCTTCCTCAATTTGGTAAGATTCCTGTCAGTATTACTTAATAGGAACCATGGCCAAAAGTATTTCTTACCTTTTTACTGATCACTAAAGATATAGAAGAGAAAGAATCTGCGCAGTTTTTATCTGCCTGTTCTCCTTAGTCTACTTAGACTCAGGGTATCATGGAATACAAGAAAAAATGTTTTGAAAAATGTATTTGGTATATTATCGGAATCAATTTTGAAAGGATGTTGGGTCATCTACTAGTTTCTTTAGCTGAAACATTCAGAGGCTTTAAAATATGTTTATCTCTTTCATCCAGTGGTTTGTGAGGGAGAATTGATCTTATTTAAATGGTTTACTAATTTCCATTATTTCACTAAGGACAAACTAATTAGAACCATGTATTTTCCTGAATGCTTAAGGTGTGGATGGAATGAGTCAACTGATTTAATCTTTTCTTTATTGTAGTTCAACATTAAAATATCTTCTTGCATTCTTTGTAGTAAAATAAATAAAGTAATAAAGGATATATTTCTGAATGCACGTGATTAGTAAGCCCATAACATTAATTTCATGAATTCAGAATGAATATGTTTATTTTTTGACAGAATTGTGTTTTGCTATATAATTTATCTAACAGTATCATAAGTTTAAGTTATCCTTAACAATTTGACTAAAGAAATTTATTTAAATCAAACTTGGTTTCTGTCTTTATTAGAAAATCATAAGAATACAATTAAGGAATAGATGTCTCCTACATAAATGATAAAAAAATAATTGTTATAAAGTAATCATGCAGAGATGTGCTGCTGCTTTTTCCTTCAGTCCTGCTATTAGTACCTCATAGTTATTCTCATTTAATCCTAATATTCTTAATCTTGTTATTACAGAATCCAAGAAACAGATTGGATCACAGCTGCTATAATTAGGCATTTTTGTTTTAAAATAGTTTTTCTATTATTTGGGTTTTGGTTGTATTTAAACTTTTGCTTCAAAGCCTTCATTATTAAAATATACTTTTTCATACTGAGATGTTATCATTCCACACAACAGTTCTGAAGAATGAGAAACATATCATGCTTTAAGACAAATGGTGCTTTAAGTAATAATAACCAATGCATGGAAGTGTTAACTATAATACTCTCCTTACATATGTTATCATTTAATAACAATACAATGCAGGAAGGTTTAATATACTGTAAAAAAAGAAATAAACTTCTAAAGAAACTAGTGAATCCCTCTTGTAGAGATTTAATACATGAAGCATTATAAAGCTAATATTTCTTATACTTCCTTCTAAGTCTCCTAAGACCTAGACTATGGCTAATATCTCATGACACCAAAAGTAATACAACAACTGATATTAAAGCATTTTTCCCAGCTACTTATTCTATAAAATATTAATTACTTGCTTGTGCACATGCAGTATAAAGTATTAGATAACTGAGTTCCTGCTCAGGTCTAAATCAATAAAAGATAGCATGCACTGCATCAATCATTTCTTAGTCTCTCTTTACTACTTAATATACAGGATATCTGTAGAGACTTTTTTGGAAACAATTACTGAGATTTCCAACATTTAGGTATTAGATTATAATATAAAAGCTTACCTAAAAATGATATATTTCTCTCCAGAAGCATTTCTTGCAGTAAGACTTCATGTTCATATCCAATTGCACTGATAGTTTTCCATTAAAGAAACATGTTCCCCAATTTTAAATAAAACTTGACTTTATAATAGCATAGCTCTTTGTGGTAGACTATAGTGATCTAGAATTGAGTCCTACTCAATTCTACTATATTTAATTGTAAATATAACAATTAACTTTGCATTTTAATAACCAATTGTCAGTCTACAAACAAGAAAATTAAAGATATTGGAGGAGGGGATGGAATCAGAGTATTAAGGTCTGTTATGAGATAATCTTCTATACATTTTCAGCAAGACTGGTAAGTCTTTATAATTACTATGAAGCAGCGATATATCTCTAGTCAATATTATATAACTAGTTAATGCTAGAATTAATTTTAAAAAATTCAAAAATAATATGGTGTCTTTGTTCCACACCCATTTTTAAATTCAAGGAATTGTCATGACAGTAAAAGAGACATTTCATAAAAGTTTCTTGAAGAAGAATAAGATAAGATGTAAACAAAATAAACTTTTTTAGACTGTTAGAAATGAAAGACGACAAATAATCTTTATTCAGAATTCAAAGATAATAATTCCCACTTGTTTGCAATCATTTCATCATAATTGCCTTTGTGTTTCCTTTATTTGGCAGAACTAGTTTCAAGGTACCTTGCATTAATGCTTTAAAAGAGGACAGAATTTTTTTTCTGGGAAAAAAAGCTAGAAAATTTCAAGAATTTTCAAGAGAGTCATTAACTATGCTTGTTGGTTTTCCTGCACAATTTAATGAATTCTGAGAAAAGTAAATTTAGTAGTGATGGTATGAATCTCACTTTTGAGATGAAGTAAAACATTTGATACGTTGTTCTTGGAATCTGGATAATTCATATAAATAGATATTGCTTTGGAGGTTCATCAGTATTTAGTTAATGCTATACATACAAGGTATGGTCATACAAGGGACATTATGGTCCCTATGAGACGCCCTCCATAAATGCAGGAAGTATGCAGTGGAGTACCCCAAGGCTCTGTTTTAGGCCCAGTACTCTTCAACATTTTCATCAATGACTTGGACAGGGGATAGATGGGGAACTCATCAAATTTGCAGATGACACCAAGCTGGCAGGAATAGCCAACACTCCAGAAGATAGGCTCAAGATACAGAAGGATCTTGACAGACTTGAACATTGGGCGCTATCTAATAAAATGAAATTCAACAGTGAAAAAAGTAAGGTTCTACATTTAGTGAAGAAAAACAAAATGCATAGGTACCATATATGTGGTACCTTGCTCAATAGTAGTAACTGTGAGAGGGATCTTATCTTGGAGTCCTAGTGGACAACCATTTAGATATGAGCCAGCAGTGTGCAGCAGCTGCCAAAAAAGCCAACAGATTTCTGGGCTGCATAAACAGAGGGATAGAATCAAAATTACGTGAAGGGTTAATACCACTTTATAATGCCTTGGTAAGGCCACACTTGGAATATTGCATTCAGTTTTGGTCGCCATGATGTAAAAAAGATGTTGAGACTCTAGAAAGAGTGCAGAGAAGAGCAACAAAGATGATTAGAGGACTGGAAGCTAAAACATATGAAGAACGGTTGCAGGAACTGCGTATGTCTAGTTTAATGAAAAGAAAGACTAGGGGACACATGACAGCAGTGTTCCAATATCTCAGGGGTTGCCACAAAGAAGAGGGAGTCAAACTATTCTCCAAAGCACCTGAGGGTAGAACAAGAAGCAATGGGTGGAAACTAATCAAGGAGAGAAGCAACTTAGAACTAAGGAGAAATTTCCTGACAGTTAGAACATTTAATAAGTGGAACAACTCGCCTGCAGAAGTTGTGAATGCTCCAACACTGGAAATTTTTAAGAAGATGTTGGATAACAATTTGTTTGAAGTGGGGTTTCCTGCCTGGGCAGGGGGTTGGACTAGAAGACCTCCAAGGTCCCTTCCAACTCTGTTATTCTATTCTATTCTATTCTATTCTATTCTATTCTATTCTATTCTATTCTATTCTATTCTATTCTATTCTATTCTATTCATGATTTCTGTTTTTCTATGGTAGATTGATATTTTTCAAAAATTGAAAATCCAGCCTGCTATGAGGAAAGATGTCAGCCACTATCACTATTGATCTATTTAAATTAACCAATGAGACACTAAAGCCTAGTGCTTTACTTGATATGTTTACTTGTCTAGAAAAAAAAGAGCAACAACTGGCTTCCTGAAACAAGAGCATATTGGATGGGAAAGTAAGAGACATTAGATCTGAGCTGCAAAAAATATGGTTAAAATACGGTTTGCATGTTATATAGCCTTTTGCTAACACTTTGTGGTTGTTTGATCTAGTGGTTCCTCTAGAGCAGGGTGGATAAAAATCAATGATTTTTAAAAAAAAATCAAAAAAATCAGATTTTTTTAATTTAAATTGGATTTTTAAGTCCATTTTTAAGATACATAAATAATTTAGTTTATTCAGCATGAAATGGAGCTTAGTTATGTAGCATGAGGTTGTATATTCTGCAACACTGGGACTATCGGTAAGTCAACAGTGGGTCAAAGGAGTAGCAGAGATGATAGTTGCTCTTTAAAAATTATGATTTAAATCGAGTTGATTTAAATCAAGCCTTTTACTAGTGATTTAAATTGTTTAAATTAAACTCGATTTAAATCAAATCCACCCTGCTCTAGAGTGAGCCAAATTTGAGTTTTGGAAAATGGATGTTACATTACTGTTCATATCCAACAAGGTAGTCATTTTATAAATAGTTACCCCTAGCAAGATCTCAAACTTCTAAATATGTTTACCGCCTTAAAAGAGATCTCCCTGGTCTTCTAGCTATTTATTACGCATTGATACAAGAGATTGAATCAATCTGTATGAGATTTTTGTAATGCCATAAAATATATGACCACCCACCCAATATATGACAACGACCACCCCAACGATGCCCTTGATGTGATGTCTCGCTGCCTGGAGGCCGTGCGGGTCTGGATGGGGAGGAACAGGCTCAGACTCAACCCTTCCAAGACCGAGTGGCTGTGGCTTCCGGCGTCCCGATATAGTCAGCAGGTGCCATTGCTGACTACTGGGGGTGAATCTTTGCCCCCCACAGAGAGGGCTCGCAATCTGGGTGTCCTCCTGGACGCACGGCTGTCTTTAGAAGAGCATATGATGGCCGTGGCCAGGGGGGCCTTTTATCAGGTTCGCCTGATTCGCCAGTTGCAGCCCTTTCTGGACCGGGACGCCTTGCGCACGGTCACTCATGCCGTCACCTCCCGGCTGGACTATTGTAATGCTCTCTACATAGGGCTCCCCTTGAAGAGCACTTGGAGGCTCCAACTGGTCCAGAATGCGGCCGCGTGGGTGGTTATGGGCGCAACTCGTTGTGCCCATGTGACACCCCTCCTGCACGAGCTGCACTGGCTCCCAGTGGTCTTCCAAGTGCGATTCAAGGTGTTGGTCACCACCTTTAAAGCGCTCCATGGCATAGGACCCGGGTACCTTCGAGACCGACTTCTGCCACCAATAGCCTCCCACCGGCCAGTTCGCTCTCACAGAGAGGGTCTCCTCAGGGTGCCATCGGCCAAGTTATGTCAACTGGCGACACCCAGGGGGAGGGCCTTCTCTGTGGGAGCCCCAGCCCTGTGGAGTGAACTGCCCCCGGAAATGCGTAAGATCTCCGACCTCCGGGTATTTCGCTGTGCACTCAAGACCCTGTTGTTCTGCCAGGCCGGGCTATCAACATAATAATTTTAAATTGGGTGTTTTAAATTTCTGGGGTTTTAAATTAAGCCGAATTATTTAATAATTTTAAATAATTTTAATTGATGTTTGTTTTGTGCTTTTAATAGGCTGTACACCGCCCTGAGGCCTTCGGGAGAAGGGCAGTATAGAAATAAAATTATTTATTTATTTATTTATTTATATACATGCAGGACATGAAAATTATAATTAAGATATAATAGGTAGCATATATTACTACTAATGATGAAAGAGGATGTATTTTTCTTTCTCTATTATTCTTCTATATTTTAAATATATATTTTCAATAATTATGAACATACTTTTTCTACAATTTAAATAACTAGATTACATATTATTGTTGTTATTATTGTTATCTATCTTGTAGAAACCACACAGTTCGAATTTTTGTAAGTCATGGGAAATATTGCACTATGAAAAATTGATGTAGCAAGTCAAGGTACGCTATAATGACAGAATCAAATAAGGAAGATGACTAATAGCAAAAGTATAAAATAAATTTTACAAACAGTGTGTATAATACAGTGTGAACAAAAAGGCTTAGATTTAGTCTGCGGTAATACCTATTATTGATGTATGGCCCTGACCATGGAGCAAAACTTGTAAATAACTTCACAAGCCAGTCTGTGCTCATTCAATTCAGCAGCCTCGTTTCCCGTAAATATCTAAACTGTTACTGAAAAACAGCCTCTTGGCAATTCAAAGAGGTTGACTTCATACTTTAGTCCATGCATATATAATTAGATAGTTGTATTTAAAATCAATATGCAATCCTTAGAAGACATTGTACTTTAAATACCTTAACTTTAGATTGGTTTTAAACGACTTTGTATGCCTTAAAATTAACAACTAATTCAGCAATAAATATTTTAAAATAATCTTTCATAAACAGTTAGAAATAATTAAATGTTTAGTAACTTATGGTCAACCACTTTTAAAAAACCTTATATTAATTATTTCTATTTTTTTCCTTACTGCTCAATGAAATCTGATCTGAAATTAACTATGGCGTATATTGCAATAAATACCGTATAGTAAATATGGTTTAGCAGAAGTATGGTTCTCAATAACCATGTCCATATAACCATGTTTTAGGTTACAGGCTACATAGGACCACTTCTTTGACCCAATTTTATAGCCAATATCTAATTATCTATGATATAGATGACAATGTAAAAACACTACTATGTCAATGTACTATGATACACATTTAGCAGACAATGATCTCATCTTATTGCCTTTATTAACTATAGTTTGGAACAAAGATAGGCTTACCAGAATCATTTTTCATTCCCCAAAGAATCTCTGCCCAGAAACTTGGTATGTACAGTATATGTGAAGTATGTGGTGAAGTTTATACAGTGACTAGGGTTCTAAATCTATCAAAATGTATTTATTTTGTGTTTAGTCCGATAGGTCTGGGTTTATCATGACATCAAGGAATTGAATGTTTAACTATAGCGTGTTTCCCTGAAAATAAGCTTAAATAAATATTTAAGCGCATGCGCAATCGGTCCCCGCCATTGCCTCTGGTTAGGGTTAGGGAGACAGACCCTGAAAATAAGGCCAAGTGCTTATTTCGGGGTTCAAAAAAATATAAGACAGGGTCTTATTTTGGGGGAAACATGGCATTACTAGTATACATTGTCAAGACAAAACCACAGAAGCTTTTAGCGCATAAAAAGATTGTGCTATAATTCATTTTCTTGGAGGCACAGCAATAAGACTAATTATGCCTGTACCCTTGAAGCTGTCTGAACTTTGTTACTTCTCCCAAAGCATGGGCAGACTTCAGACATGTTCCTATTTTATTATCTAAGAAAATATCAAAATATACAGAGCTAGGTATAAAGCAGAGGTTTACTGAAGACAAATATTAGATGGTGGATCTGATGTCACATTGCTACTTAGCCTGTCAATATACTGGATAGAAAAAACTCCTTTAGTAATACAGAATCATAAAAAGCACTGATAGCAGTGAAAAAAATCAGTTACCCTGCAACATGCACTAGTTTTTTCCATCTGTTAGGAAGAGCCAAAAGTGCATATTATACAGCAATTTGGATGAGCAGATGTCCCAGTGACTTGCATTTTGGTAGGTTGGTACAGAAATTAAAACTAATAAAAATGTTTCAAACAATTAATTCAATATAAAAATAATTCATTGACTGAAGACAGAAATTAGGTTTCTTAAAAAAATAAGAAAGAACAGGCAAAAATAAATCTGCTTATTTCATCAAGGTTTTGCATAGGTTGTTATAAATTTTGTTTTAACTTTAATTTACTGTGGTTCTAAATTATGGTGAGATGTGTTGTTATAAACTAGTATGTATCTTTTTGGAAAAATGATATTAATGTTTATTCTAAATTAATATACTTATATAATCACTTCAACCCACTAAAATGAAAAAGAAATAAAATTGGTATGAAGCTGATTTAAGAACATGCACAAAATATATTCATTCTGAGCAAAAGTCAGTGAATTCCCTATGTTTTAATTACTTTGTCTTTAGATAAAGATTCCCTTCCATTTTTATAACTGTAAACACTATACAAAGTAGATGATTTGAATGTATTCTGTCTATTTATCTCATAGAATAAGTTGCAAGGTTTGTGCTAATTTGCTTAACTATTAACTTTTAAACCCAGTTGCATAGGAACAACATTTTCATTCTTTAAACATCAAGATTTTCTAGAATGTTCAGTAGATGAGAGAGATAAAGGAGAACAACCTTCCAGAAGGGTTGTGCATGTAATTAATTTGAACAGAATTACAAGTAGCCTACGCATCTATGAATACACTTAATTCCACTTATGATCATTTTTATGCGTTATCCTTTTTTCATTGTGACAAAACAGTGGTAAGTCAAATTTTCTTGCTCTTAGATTTTGAATCACAGTTTCTGTGGGAAATGCAAAGAAGCTATTACGTCTTATAAAATTTGCAACTTATGACAACAAATAATTTAATACAAGATTGTGTATTTCACGTGACCAACAGCAAGAGAATTTTATCTAAGCAAAGGAAATGTATATCTACTGAACTGACAATTTTCATATGGCATATCTGGCATTAGTTAAACAATGTAAGTAAGAGACAGGTTCTGCAGTGATCCCCTTGTGGCTGATTGAATGTAAAACAGAGGCACATGATATGTGTTTTGAAAAGCAGAACTTTATGTCAGGTTACAGCTAGACACATCTCCTCCTCAAAGCCCAAGCTCATCAACTCTGCACCTAAAATTTTATGAGAAAGGATACTGTTTGATGCAGTCCACCACTGGTCCATAACAATAGTCATTCACAATGCACTACAAATAAAAATAGTGGTAGGAAGATGGGCATGTGTATTTCTATTATAATTAATAGAATCATAAGAAATACTTTTTTCTTCAAAAATAAAACTTTTGAAGCAAAAGCCTTTTGCGAGGAATAACGGAAAACAAAATTCGCATCCTTTTTATTCTGTAAGAAATGGTGTGTCTGTAAAAATAATACATAAGACAGTAAAATGCTCTCTTCACAAATATCGCATTGCTATTTATGCACTGCTGACCTCTATGTAAGATAATAATGATGCCAGCAATTAAATGAGGTTTTAAAAAAATTTTCCCTGCTAGGCAGAGAACAGCATTGTCATTGAAAAAAGGATGACTGTGATAAATACCTGATAGACCTGATTGGCTAAGAGTCCATCTGGAATCTGAGAAGGATCCCGTAGCAGACTGTTTATGAGAGTTTTTGAAGCTGCAAAAAAAAGAAGGTGATACTTAGTATTGCTGTAAATATGACACTGATCATCAGTTGCTATGGAGGAAAAATGAATGAAAAATAAAAAAAAAATTCTTCACAGATCAGTATCTTTCAGAATACATACTTGTAATCTTGCATATACAATACTGCTCAGATATTCTTCGGTAGAGGGAAGCAAAGTTTTCAGCTTTCATGCACACATGTACTACACAGAGGCGAGTTTTCTAAACACCCTTCCGACTTCAAGGAATATAATGTATCCCTATATAATATTATTATGTATATGAGCTATAATAAAAACAAGTACATACAAAGCAGAAGCTGAAGTTAACAATGGGCCGCCTAGTTAACGGCTGCTCAACTGTGTGACAATGTAGCAACAATGGTGCATTGGAATGCTTCTAAGAAATACCACTTGCCTGCAAGCAAGAACTGGTGGGGCCACAGAATACACAAAGTAATTGAAAATGAAGAAGCTGAAGTAGTCAGATACTTCAGAATTCAAACGATTTTTGGGTAGAATATGCTGTTGTTGTTTCCTTAGCATTTATCTTGCATGGTTGCAGACTCACTTGGATTTGCACTGCACTCACCCAGTTTTTACAGCAAAGTTATGACTGCATCATGCGAAGAAGTCTGGCACTGAAGAGGGATGAAAGGGAGTAGCCAAAGTGGCTTTTGTACTAATGGAGGGTTAGGACCTGGGTCTCCCCATTCTTAGGCCAGCACCCCAACGACTATACCATGCTGTCTCTGGATAGATGGAATTTGATATCTATATATCTATGTATATCTTTGTATACCTATATCTGTCTATGGTATGTATCTATCTATCTATCTATCTATCTATCTATCTATCTATCTACAAAATAATTTGGATATATACACACAAACACAAACACAAAATTTACTTTTCTAACAATAGATTCTAGGATTCTCAAAAATTGTGATATTGTAACTCGATAAAATGATTTAATGAATGTACACAGCCCATTCAAAAAATAAACTTATAATTGTATTGGGGTTAGCGTTAGGCAACAAATAAATATACTGCTTATTTATACTTTCCCTCTCTCTCTCTTACACATCCACACCTACTTCTCACACCTTTCTATTTACCAATTTGATGCAAAAATCTGGTGAAATCAAACAATCTCATGACTCCAAAGCTTTATATGAAGTCAGAAATTATTTATTTACTTACAGTACTTATTTATTCACTTATTGTACCATGTGTGGTACAGAGGAAAAGTAAACATGATTGGAGGACATGACGCTTCTTTGCAGAATTCTGACCATCTGACTTAACACTAACTCCATAGAAAATATTATAACAAAATGGAAGGGAAGAGAGATGAATAATTTGCAGTGAAAAGCAAGGTCCAAAATTTATATGCACCAAGTATCAGGGCAAGAAGGAAAAATGGATCTCAATGGGGCATTTTCAGAGAAGTTTCTTTAATTCAAGAAAACATTTTTTCTTTAGTTTCATGAATGAGTTTCATATTTTTAAAATAAAACTCAAGATTTCAGAAATTATATAACAGTAAACAAATCCAGCCTCCTCATTAGAAATAGTTTTAAATATTAGGAGGGTACTTTTTTCCTCTCTGCTTATTTGCAATGAAACCACATTATTTTATAATGTTGTAAGATTAGGGATTTGTGTGTGCACGTGTATATGTGTATATGTGTTTTATACATATGTATGTATAAAATCTCAAGGTGTCAAACACACCCACTATGCCTGCCTATGTTCTCCACAACAACACAAATTATAGGCAGCCATGTAATTTTTTTCCAAATATATAAACAAACATTATATAATTTCCACTGCATAATTATAATGTAAATTATAGCAACTTCACACCTCTGAATACTTTCTTGTGGCTAGATTAATTACTATTTTCAACAATATTGGCACTGTTCTTGTTGTTGATTTACTTCTCATGACCTGGTGAACAACATCTCTCCAGGACTGTTTGTAACTGCTTCTGAGCTCATGCTTGTGTCACCACTGACATTGTCTAACCACCTGGTCTTCTGTTTGCCTATATAAAATGCCTTCAAAATCAAGATTTTCTTTTCTGATGACTAGTGCCTATCCACTATGTGTCCAAATTATTTAAGTTTTAAATTCATAGTTTGTGCTCCTAGGGAACAGTCTGGATTTACATCATTTGGTATTGAATGATTGTTCTTCTTGCAGTCTGAGGTACTCTTAACTCTTTTCTTCAGTACCACAGTTCACAGACATTGATTTTTCTTTGTTTGGCCTTTCTGATGATTCAGCTTTCTCAGCTATAACTCTTCTAGATTAGGTAAAGATGTTGTCACCATCATTCCGTAAAATTAATAAAGCACGGAATTCTAATAGAAATATCCGGTCAAGGTATGTTTACCATTGTAAATATTATTGATTTAATTAGTTATGCAGTTCATCAATACCAAAGGCAAACAAAAATACAAAATTGGACAGTTAAACAGTAACTGTTTTCATGACACTACATTCTGAAGAGAGCCACAGTTTAGCCTCCCTAAATCTATTGTAATCCATTGAATTGGATTTCAACTGCCAGTCAGATACTGTATGGTGACTGTGGAAATTACATAAGACTCTGCTCTATCTAGCTAAGGACACACTAGAACAGCATTCAATGTCATACAATAGCTAAAAAGATCCATTCAATTAGCATTTATGGTATTCTGTCCATAACTCTGGGGATAGTAAAGGGCTATCGACATAGAAGCCTGATAGCATGATCTTCTATTAATGTCTTCAGTTCCTTTTTAAAAGTATGTAAGATGATGGCCATTGTCTTATCTGTCAGTAGAAAATTCCCCATTTTAACTATGGGTTATTTATTTATATAATTACTATGCGCCCATTTCTCCTACGAGGTAGTGTTTACACAGGAGAAAAACTTTCTTTGCCTCCTAAATCAGCATATCTATCATGATCTTGCTTACTTAAAGAGTAAACAAACTATATACCCATAAGCTTTTCTGCAATGTTTAGGTCTGTATCTTTATTCTAAACTCTCTGTCTTCTATCCTAATTTTAAAGCTACACGAAACTTAGATAAATATATAATATTCAGTAATGCATGTAAACAGTGTGGTAAAAAGGCATAACTACTTGGTACAGGTACTTCTCACTTTCCAACTGCCTTGGTTGGCAACTATTCACATTTATGACGGTTGAAAAAATAACATGTTTGGATCAATCTTCACATTTATGGCCATTGTAGCATTCCACAGTCAGAGTTACACAACTGACTTCCAACAAACAGAATTAATGAAGAACATGGAAGTGAAATTGCAAGTCATATCACATGGTATCTTGCTTGATTATTGTGGTGATTTGCTCAATGACAGAGACAGTTATAAGTCCAGCACAGTCATATGATTTTTCATTTAGCAACTGTGGCATTATTTCAAACATATTTCCTTACCTAAACAGAGAAACAGAATGACCAAGGGCATGCAAAAAAGCAGTGGGAGCACTGACTTCCTGCTAGCGCATTCATTGAATTTCCTTGTGGGAAACAGAAAACGAAAAGCAGAAATCTTCCTTTCTGACTCAGTCATGACTGTTAGAGTCCTCTGTACATTTTTCTAGCATGGTAGTTCCTTCCTTCCTTCCTTCCTTCCTTCCTTCCTTCCTTCCTTCCTTCCTTCCTTCCTTCCTCTCTCTCTCCCTCTCTCGTCCCTTCCTTTCACGCTGTTCCTCCCTTCCTCCCCCTCCCTTCCAGAATTGCTCCTTGAGAAAACCTAAAATGTTTGGAGAAGTAAAAAAAAAAAAAACAAAAAAAAAAACAGGGGTGGGGTGAGAGAGAGAGAGATTCCATTTACTAATGTTCTGGCATTAATTTTCATCTGTCTATTATACAGTATGCAGATATGTCTAAAAAGCTGTGGCCCTTAACAAGAAAATAAAAACAACACTAATTATAGCATGAAGAAAAACATCTGACCGTGTCAGGAATTATACAAACATCAGCTTCAAATTTATAGTTTACTTTTTCTTTAGTTTCAGCTCTTATTAATCCTGCTTTTTTTTAAATTCTTAATGAAATGTTCAAATAAAGGAAGATGAAATGAAGTATTGAAAAGGTCAATTGGAATTACTTCTGAATGGATAGGAGTGAACAATTAAACACTATTCAATAAATATTAAAAAGCATATATTGCATATAACTGTATAGATTTCCCTATGCATCTGTGTTTTGTATTTTTGTGCGCTTGAATCATATGGGGTGTAAAAAAGGGATAATGTTGGAACAAGTATTGTCAGCACTATCCCCTTTAAACTGCTTAGCCCTGGAAGGCACAACTCTCACTGCTTTATTTCTTTACTCATTTTTCTTCAAGATTGGTACATCTGAAATACCTTCCTCCAAATCTATACTGCACTACCGTTCAGCAAGAAAAAGAGAGTTATATTTTCCCCTTGAGTTAGGACGCCTCATGACAAATGATAATGGATAATCAATAAACTGGGAAATATGAGGCCACAAACTTTATGAAGCCAAGAGACATATTACTTCTGAACAACACTCATTTCCCTTAACAAAGTCACTACTAGACTGTGCCTAATAATCTGAAAGAAAATCAAAGGACCTGCAACCACATCAGCAATATTGGCAACTTATTCTACTTTAATGGCATTTTGATTGATTTTTCTGCCTAATGGTAGTTTTATACTGTAGATTTGACGCTGCTTCTGCAAAATAGTTGTGTATAATAAACATCCCTGAAGGCAAACACTGAACATTTAGGCTCTTGTCTTACTAGGAGTCATAATTGAAGCTTGACCAACATTGCCTTTGGCCTTTTTAAAGATTTTTTTTTCCTTTTTACAAAAGCTATTCCTTTCAGTATTTCTTTTCTGTGAAGGACTTGATATGTGATCAAGGCATTTTGTTTAAAAAATTCATAAACAGACTGACCTTGACAATGACTTTGTATGTTTCGGTAAAGCATTGACCCGC